AATCATGATTCCAGCATTTTCAGCTGAAACTACTCCAAAACGCAATTTTCAAACCTTCACAATTCATGAAAACAAAGTGTTTAATAGTCAAAGGACGAATTTGCCAAATCCAAAATCCATGAAACTTGCCTAACATTAATTTGAAATACATTGCAAGAAGAACCAAGTTTCTTTCGTCAAATTTTCCGAAGTAAAGCGTTTTAAAGCAAAAAAAATTAAAGAAAATTTCCATATTTCACCGAAGTGCAAGGGAAATAAAATTTCAGGATATTTCGAGTTATTCATCGATAAAGACTAATTTTTCGTTTGTTGCCTTGCTTTCAAAACGAATTTATTAAGAAACTAACACACCGTGGAAACGCAAACCGAGTTTCACGTAAAATTACTGAGAAATTGTCCAAACTGGCTTTAAAATCAAGCTTACAAAATTTGGAGTCAAAGAATTTATTGCCCAAATATATCTAGTTTTAACTGCATTTAAAGTTAATCTTTTTTGGTTTATTAAGGCAGATTTTCACCATCAAAATACGCTTCGAAAGAAAAATCGAAGCTTCCGAAGCACAGTGTTTTAAAGCAAAAAATGCAGTTTTCGAACCAAATATCTAAGAAAATTGTCAATCTCTCACCCAAGTGCAAGGACAATAAAAATTCAGGACCTTTCGAGCCAAGTTCCTTCTGATGAACGCCTAACAGAGTCACAAAGATTTCGCATTTCGCCTTTTATTTTTCGCAAAACGACAAAGTTTTGCTCAAAATTTCCTAAAATTGCTGTTATTCCGGAATTTATACAGCCACCCTCAAATTCCCCAGAAGCTTTTCTGTTATTGCCAAAAGGTGTAATTTTGTGCTAAAATCGAAAAAATGCTCAGCTGAGAATGCCCACAAAAATTCATCACTAAATACTAAGAATGCGTTTAACTGTCTATTGTGAAAACGAATTTATTTAGAGACTAACAAACCGTGTGAACGCAAACCCACAAAGTTTCACCCAAAATTACTGAAAAATCATCAGTCAAAGAATCTAAGTAAATTTCCCAAATAATTTTTTTTAAATGCATTCCAAGTTGATCTTTTTCGGTTCATAAAGCTAAAAACTTCTACTTTCATCCAAGATCAAGTAAAAAGAAAATTTAGGATATTTCGAGCCTAGTTTCTTTTAGTGAGCGCTTAACACAGCCATGAAAGCCGCAAACATTTCGAATTTCGGTTGTTCTTTTTTAGCGAAACGACGAAGTTTAGCTCAAAATTGACTAAAGTGGCCGAACATTTTTCTAAAGCTCTTTCGAAATGAAGCTACCAGCACTGCAATAAAACGTAAATTTTCGAACAGAAAATCTCCTACTTTCAACCAAGTGCAAGGAAAAAGAAACTTTCTTGATAATTCGGTCCAAAATCCTTTACTTATACTTTGGAATGAAAAATTAAAGTAAAAAAAATATATAAAATCCATTAGTTATCGGTTTAATTGTAAATTTTATCACATCATGCATCATCCAGATAAGGCGCAACCAGTATAGACATACAAAGACGGTGCGCGAAAGATAAAAACGATTGGAGGCGCGACAATAGATCGTGATTATGCGTTATCATTGTTTCTTCTGAAAAAAGATATATCTATTGTCTGTATGGATAAATATTACCTGATTCTTCATCGTAGTTTGCTACCAAGCCAACTACCATGCCATACCTTTTGTTTTCTCATGGTCGAACGGTTGTCCTGCAAGAGATTTTGAAGATTAAATTTTTTTCGGTTGGCTTGGGTGTCTGATATATTACTTAGACGATGATCTAACAGATAACCGACATTATTATATTCGATAAAATTGAGTGGCTTAATTTGGTTAATCAGGGCCACACAGAGCTTACACCGTCGGTCTAGTAGCAGCAGCAGTTTGTAAAATACCACTTATTTCATAATAAATATATCTCGTACATGGATCTTCACATATATTAATTCTTCTTCAGCAACTGCAATGGGTTCGCTTTAAAAACTTGTCCAACATCACGCACAAGAGAATTTTAAAAGGTCCGAAGAGGCCACTTTTTGGCAGGCATTCTCATTGCCTTTTTTGTTTTGGTATGTTATTTAGTGGCGTTTTTGTTTATTCGTCATTTTCCGTTAAAGATGACGGTCGAAATTCTTCGGAAGGTAATGATGGTGACAAAAACGTCAGTTTGTTTTCGACCGTAGCCGGAATTATCATTTGACAAATTCCGTTCAGCAGCGGAATTTTAATTATAATTGCTTATATTAAATTACTTTTCAAATATTGATCGTTCTTAGTTCGGTCTCTTATACTTCAAATTTCACGTATTTTGAAGCAAAGAAACCGAAATTTTACTGTAAGTTTTACTCAGCAAAGGTTTATACAGCGATTATTTCTACTTATACTCAATTTGGAAATTTTGAACAGATTGCACAAAATCGGAATTTTTGCATATCTTTATGAAATTAGGCACTGTTCTAGACCTGTTGATTTTGAACAGTGTGTGAAAGTTTCAGATCGTTTGTAGTTTTACAACTGGAGTTATAATTTTTTAAGGAGCCGCCCTTGTTTAAAATTGCTCTTTTCCATACTTTGAGTTCATCAGCTTCCCAAAAATCAGAAATGTTTTGTATGTTAGTGAAATTTAGAGCGCTTGTTAACTGGTTCGTTATAAATAAGGCGTAAAAGTTTCCGCTTGTTTCGAGCATTCGAACCAGAATTATATTTTTTTTAAGCAGCCGCGCTGTTTGGCATCATTTTTTTGCATACGTCGGGATTATCAGTTTCCCAAAAATCAGAACTTTTCTTTATTTCAGTGAAATTAGGCACAGTTACATACTTGTGTGGTATTTACATTGCGTGAAAATTTCAGCATCTTTTCAGCAGACTTTTCGGACTCAAAGTATGATTTTTTTAAGTAGCCGCGCTTATTGGAACGTTCTGTTTGGCAGTCTTTAGGTTCATGATTGTATACAGCGTGCGAAAGCCGATCAGATCGTCTAAAGTTTCCAAAAGAAGAATTATGATTTTTTTTAAGTAGCGGTGCTTGATGAAACTGTTCTTCTGCATACTTTGGGTTCATCAGTTTCTCAAAAATCAGAGCATCTTAGAAAAATCCCTCACAGTTGTAGATTTATTCATTAGGTACAGGGTGAGAAAGTTTCAGGTTGTTTGCAGCCTTGAAACTGGAATTGCGATGGTTTTTTAATAGCGCCACTTGTTAGAAATTGCTGTTTTGGAAAGTTTTGGTCCAGCATCTTATCAAAAATCCCAATTTGTGTGCATCTTAATAAAATTAATCGCAATTGAAGACTTGCTTCTTTTATTCCAGCGCTGAACATTTCAGATTGTTTGGTTTGCAAAGAATTACGATTTTTTTAACTAGCTGCGCTTGTGAGAAATTGCTCTTTTGCATAATTACTTTAGCTTTAGTAAAGTTTTAGTAACCGCGCTGTCACGATTTTTGTGCATCTTAGTGAAATTCCGCATGCAGATTTAGTCGATATGTATAATCTGTGAAAGTTATCTTCAACTTGATGATAAAACCAATTTACAAACTCAATAGGTGTTTGGCTTCAAATACAGTTACCAAACTATGCAGGCATAATAAATGATGAAAAGGTAAGTTATTCGGCAGCAATTAGGGCAAGTGAGTGAATTGATTATCGGCTGGAAGTCGGTAGTAAAAGCCCATCTAAAACCCGCATCCGACAACGTTGAAATTAAATACATTTGTATTCGGAGAATAAAACGCATCACTGATCATCAGTAAAATGCATAGTGGCTATCTGATCGATCGTATCGACATATCTATTTTGAATAAGTTAGAAATGGCGAGTACAGCTGGCTTCAGTCGCTTGGATAATACTCGATATTGCAAGCTGAAGCTGCCAATTTCAGTTCAATGTCTATTATAGTTGAGTTACTTTATGATTTAACGGTGCCTCAACATATCCATTTTTTTCACTTCCGGAGACTCTCTATGAAAGATTTGCTTAAATAGTTGCATGAAACATTGCAGTCCAGGAATAAAAAAACATCTAAACTGTTAGACGCAGTTAATTGAATTCGCTCTCATATTAAGGAAGTTGAATTCGATCGATGCCCAATGACTGATTAAATTGCGCTCGTGTAGTGTTTACGGAATAACGGAAACAATAATCACCTGCCCATTATAAATGCAATCGTAACGTGAAATGAATAGACTGACATTGTTAAAGTATAACAGTTAGACAATAAAGGCAAGTTTTGCGAGACAACGCGGAAGAATATCTTGAGGTCGGCACTTCCCAGGCCACTGGCTAACTGAATAAGATGGAAATTAAGCGCGATTTTTACATTTTATGCGGCAGATTTCAAACGAGTTTGAAACGCAGCAGTTTTCAAATTAGACCTTTTTGGACCTAAAACCTCAAGGTGGGCAAAAGGAATCCAACTTAAAATAGGAACTTGGCTAGATCAACCACTACTTTTTCGAATCTAGAATCAAGTTATTGTAAAGATCAGAACGAAATCACATGAGCCATAACGAAGAGGCAATTTGAGCGCGAGCTACTCGACTGAGTGTAAATAGCGATGCCAATCTTTTAATGCTATTTGAGCTCACAATTATTGCTCTAGAGGTGTTGCTTCAAAATCTAATAACCTGGAACTTCTGATTCGCAATAGAGTCACTTCCTTAACGAGTTTTGTAATTCGAATCTAATTTGTTTCTTTGGTACCATTAAAGCGCTCGTGTTTTTCATCTTATCGTATCGGCTGAATGCTGAAAAACTGCTGGCAACAATTCAGGCCATTTGTCTTTGTGTGCTAATCAATCACTCCAAACTCGAATTATAACTAGTTTTGCCCAGCTTCACTGATCGGGAATGTTGCAAAAACAGCAGCAGAGCCACGCGCCCATGTAGTCGAATTGGGCGAAGAATAATCTGAAATCCACGACATTAATTTGTCTGCATGTTGCATGGATTTAGCCCTTAGTTCAACACACCCGCTTTAAGGCTATGTAATCAAATAACTATCGATCAAACAACCTGCATAGCTAATGAAAAGTGTCAGAATCAAATGTATCCATCAATCGGGCTTTATTCAGTTTTAATTGCGTGAAAAAATCGTGCGATATGTCGAGTGAAGATATAGCGACAGCGAATGAGGGAACGGAAGAAATAGCTGATCAACTTGGAGACGCTGTTGAAAGCGAACGAAATGAGTTACAAGTGGAAGAAGTAGCGGTTGAAGACAATGCAGCTGAGAACGTGGTTGCTGAAGACCACAATGAAGCAGATGAGGTGGGTCTATGGCGTAAAAAAAAGAAAAATTTCCAGCGAAAATTTTTCAGATAAGAGAGGTGCCCGAAGTTTTCGAAAATCCCGATGCAGATCCGGACATTTCTGAGTCAAATGATGCAAATGGTGAAGCATCTTCCAGCCACCAGGAGGAAGAGGAACCAGATTTAGACATCAAGTCTCTTCCTGGTGAGCCAGAAAGTGCAGACGTATATCTGGGTGATGAAGACGACGACTTCGACGCTCACCCGTTAAACGAGTTAACCGATCAGCAAGTGATCGACCTGGTGCAGGAGGTGGAGACTGAAAACCGGCACTTGTACCTGGAAAACAATCTGTTCCAGTCGTTTTTGAGGGAGAATGATCCGTCACTGCTAGAGGGCTTTGAGGAGATGATGAATTTTGTGCTAGGCAGAACCGGCGGTTCGTACATGTCAACTAGTACAAGTGGAGAGCGACGCTCCAGCTACTTCGATAAGCGTTACAAATTAGATTCGTACACCAGCATAACTTCCATAGCTGAAGGCAAAGGTCCAAAGATCAATCTGGCGCAGAAGACTGAAATGGTGATGAGGGCGATGGAAGAAAGCCAGGCGAGTCTGGAGACATTCCTCAAAAGGTGTCACATCACCAAAAGAAACCTGAAAGCCGAGCTGGAAGAATTCAGCATTAGAGAAGCCGAATTTAAGGAGGCCAGTGAAATTTTCGAGTACAGCGTGGTCACGCAAGGAGTCGACAAGTTAACCCAGCGCATTCCTGCTGAGAAGTTCATCAGGTACATGGAGGAGTGGCTCAAGAGCGCTCAGCTGCAAATCGAGAAGCTGCGGCTCAGGATCGCCACCTTGAAGGTGCAGTACAAGAAAGTGTCTCAGCAGCTGATCCAGCGGCAGGAGCTCGGCGAGAATGTGCATGCAGTCGACTTTGACCAGCTGGAGATTGAAAACAAGCACTTCATTGAACGAATCGAGCAGAAGAACATTCATCTGGTGGAACTGAAGAAAATGAACGGCGGCGCCAATTTGATTCTCAGCACGCACAAGAAGTACCTGCAAAAGCAGCAGGAGGACTGCAACAACTTGAAAGCCGAAATCGATGAGAAAAACTGCCAGATTGAAGCCACCGACAAAGAGTGCAGTGCCGCCGAACTGGAACTGCAAGCGGAAATTGAGAAATTTGAAAACTGCAAGAAACTGAAGAATCAGTACACTGTTCCTGATGTGATGGAATATGTGCGCTTGAAGGGAAAACTGCACGAGCTGAAAAAGAACATCAAAATCTGGATCCGGAGACGTAAAATTCAGGACATTGCTTTGAACACGTGTCTAAGGGAAATGAAAAATCTGACCGGAAGAACTGCTGTTGATCCCACTTGGTTCGACGATGTGCAATCGATAAGTGAATCTAATTCTGAAGATGTTTTACTTTAAAGGACTGTTTTACTGTATTGGATTGGAAATTTATTACATTATTATACAAGCAATGACCAAAAATGTGACTCCTTTGTCGGGTAGCAGATTTTTATTTTCGGGTTGCAATGAGGACATTTTCTGACAGTGTGTAGGATTTTTACAGTTTCATCAAAGCTCTGAAGGTGGATTTGGCCGAATTTTTCTAAAATCTACTAAATTGATGATTTTTTGGAACTTGGCACAACTTGAAAATTTACGCTTAAAAAAAGTAAACTCCAAAGGACATGCAACCTTTACTGCATGTATATAATCTCTAATACTACGATTTGCACTAATTTCACTGAAATCTCCATTAGGCGGGATAATTTTTAAGGTTTAAAATTTTTTAAGAAGGCAAGTTCATCAAATTACAGTTGCGACAAGAACGTTCACTTCCCTCAAAAAATTATAACTTTGAAAATTGTGCAGCAAGCGACTTGTAAGATTTTCTTAGTTAAAGACTGAAAAGAAGTGACTAAAAAGTTGCTAAAGTTGAAGTTTGCAAAATAAGAATTGCCGACAAATTCGTGCAGCTGCAAAACTCCAAACGGATCTCGATTCGTTTTTATATTTTCAAACTATAGGTAGGAACCAAAGCTTCAATTAGTGCGATTTTCAGTGAAATCGATGGGACTGTGAATTTTTTAGAGGCTTCTAAACCTGAATTTTGCAAAAAATAAATATGTGACAAGAATATTCACTTTCGCATTTGGCAAGTCGAGGCAATTTGGAGTCGAAGTTATAATTTAACTAACATTTAAAAAAACGCCGATTTCTGAAAACCTCGCAAGCCTTAACTTTGCAAATATCGAATATCCGGTAAGAACAAGAACTGAAATCGGAAAACTTCCAAAGCTTTGAAATTTTTACCGGATGTTTCCTGCAACCGAAGCCACAATCGCAAAGAAATCCACAAATGTGCGGATTTTTTCAGCCTTGAGAAAGGCAGGATTTTTTTGTAAAAAGGCCCCAGAAAGGATTTATGGCAGTTGGCATAAATACGCAAATTCTCTGCAGCAAAATGACGATTTCGCTGAAAACACAACACAAATACGGCGCAATTCGTATGCAAAATGCAAAAATCGCTTCGGCTTTGCCTGTCAATCAGCGGCCAGGAAGATCATGCAGGTCTTGGGCATTTCATTTATTATTATGTCCGTTTTGTTGACATAAACACGCAACATCGGCTACGGACGTCCATATTATCTCTTCGCATTGATATTTGTTTCCCTGCGTCTACCATAAATTCAAGAAATTCCCATATATTATGCATTGGGGGCCGAGTTGCTGAAAGTCAAGCTAAATACACATTTTTGAAATTAATTGATTAAATAAGCTTGACTACAAGGGCGGATCTAGGGGGGGTCAT